GCAGAGATGACAGCTGCTCTTTAAAACTTATGATTTAAAATCAAGTGGATTTAAATCAAGCCTTTTCACTAGTGATTTAAATCAGGGGTCTCCAACCTTGGCAACTTTAAGACTTGTGGACTTCAACTCCCAGAGTTCCTCACTCAGCAAAGCTGATTCTGGGAGTTGAAGTCCACAAGTCTTAAAGTTGCCGAGGTTGGAGACCCCTGATTTAAACCAACCTTTAAATCGACTTGATTTAAATCAAATCCATCCTTGCTTATTAGTGACTTGCAAATTCCTGGCCACCTAAAACACGTGCACTCCCAAAAGATACAGGTAGTCCTTGACTTAACCACCATTCGTTTAGTGACCGTCAAAGTTATGAATGGCATGGGAAAAAAAGTGACATGACCGGTCTCCATGTTTACATCATCAAAATTAGGATGCTTGGCAAATTTATGATCGACAAGCCAAGTCAGCGCGGAAGCCAGATTCACTTAATAAAGGCAGAGATTCGCTTAACCGCAAGGCAGGAAACGGGGCAAAACTCACTTAACAAACGTTTTCCTTAGCAACAAGAAATGTTGGGCTCAGTTGCGGATGCAAACTGAGGACTACCTGCACACCTACCCAAATTAACAGGCCTTGCAGGATACTTTGCATTGCCGGAATAAGTAGAGGGGGGAGGAGAGGAAGCAGATAATTAAACTGGCAGCTGCTTCCATTGAAGCGCGGGGATCAAAGTATAAAGGGCAATGTCCTAACAGGTGCATTCCACTCTGTCCGTTTTGGTTAGGTGCCCTGGCCGCTGTAGCAACAGCGGCTCTGGACATCCATGTTCCATGCAAGAGGTCAGATCTTTCCTTCAAGTAAACTTAGAGCAGTTGTCCTATTGCTTTTAAGGGCAATTTTAGCCATAGGCCATTACATGAGATTTACACAGGGCAAGAGGCAAGATTATCTGGTCAATTGTCACTGAGTATTAATACAGAGTATTTGTTCATGTTAACTCCCTTTAAAACTGACTGCCACGTTCCACAAGGGTTGGCTCTTCCATTTAATGGCTGTGATGACTAAAGTAGCTACACAAACATCGTCATAACCAGTAGCCACAGTTACCTTTGTCCTTACAGGGCCAGCAGAATGTTAGGGCCTTGGGCCTGTTTACCTGGACAGGTGAATATAAGAGATAATCAACAAAGCCCTTATGGAACAACACCGGTCCACACAAACAAGCAAAGCCCCATCCATGGAATTCAGGCAGCACACGAAACCATGGCCTCGCCTGTCTGTGGAAAAACCTCTCTCTGTGGAACAAGTCCCTGGTACCCAAAAGATTGGGGGCCGCTGCCCTAAGGCAGATGCTCAGTCTGGGAATAACAATACGTACAGAACCCCCAGTCGGGACTTGGTGGTATCTCCCATCGCTGTTTAAAATCTTAAGGGCTCTAAGCGTGAAGTTAATACTACCCAGGAAAACGGGCTCTTCCACGGTCTGCTTGCAGCCTATCAGGCCATGAAATGAATGCAAGGTTTCTAAGGGCTTATCAAATCTAAAATCACGCAAGAAAAGAAACACGTAATCTCTCAATTCCACAGGGTAATTCAATGTGAAGTATGTATCCAGGCACGGGAGGGAAATATGACTGCAGTAAATCACAGAATGTACATTTCCAGATCTTTGAAACTTTAGTTAACCAGAGATTTACCCTCACTCAAATGGACTTAATTAATATGCTATAATTAATTTGAACTCACGGGTGGCCAAGTCTTAATTCTGCTACAGAATAGGGCATTACAACAGAAGAAATACAGGGCTGTGGGTGTGGGGAGGAGCAGCGAAAGAGTTAAACTGCACACTATTCTTCACTTGGGTTTAGCTTTTGCTGTTACTATCGTCAACTTCCATTCCACTTTGCAGTTCCTTCCTAAAAGATAACAGCATTGCAACATGCTCAGGAACCACAAGATCAATTCCTACACATATCCAAATGCTTCACTTTTTCAGGCTTCCCAGTGTGGAAGATCAGAATCTGTTTGCGCAACAACATCTCATATATTTGAAATTGTTGCCCTCACTCTGTAAACGTTTAGCAAAGCAGTGTTTCATTTATGTTCTACTTTTTGGGGGGCTGTAAATTTCTGGAAGGGAGTTAGAAGGCCATCGGTCCTGTTGCTCCAGGTGACTAAGCAAACAATGTTTTTCCTTACTTACTTTGACCAAACTTTTTTATGCCTTCCCTACATTGCTAGTTTTATTGACTTTCATTTTATACCCAACCTGAGGGCCAAACTTCTTTCCAGATTTTGTTCTTATCTAAAAAGGCACTATTCACTCTGTGGAACAAAAGAAGCAATGTTGTTGTTCCTTGAATGTTGCAAACTTTTCCAAACAAATCCTAGCTGACTCTTCCAAAGGAAATAATTTTTTTCCTTGAGATCTCTCTGTCCTCCCAAATACAGTGAGGAAGATGACCTCACTACTATTTTATCAGTCCATATCCATCTCTCTTACCTCAGCTAAAAAAAACGGCAAGAAATTGCAAATTCTGCTCTTCTTCCCACAAGGGTGTGCTTTTAATCCCTCAAAACAAAACAAAACAAAACAAAACACTAAACACCTTTTCAATAAAGCTTGCAGTATCATCACTTAAAATCACACCCTTACTGAATAGATCTAGGTAGCCTGAAAAAAATGACCTTCTTTTTCTCCCCCAGGTCAGATTTGACTACAAGACCTTCTGCACAGAGACCATCTTGCCTTTTGCAAAATGCTACAACAGATCTCCTCCCAAAAAACACATCTGTAAGTCATCGTAAACATTGTGAGTTGTAATTACTTTTTGATTAAAAGATAAAGACTTGATGCATACTTTTATTAATTATTAAACTTGTATGTCACCTGTATACCACATCTCTAGAAGGAATTGAAAAAAGGGAAATTAAATGTGGTAGAAGAAAAATTAAAAGATGGTATTGATGTTGGACTGGATGGAAGAGAGGGGAGAGGTCTGAGTGAAGAGCCAGGATTGCCATTGCTTTCTTCTGGGACCCGATTTGTTATTATTAACATCATTTATTCCACTTATAAGTAAATAAATCAACAGTGATTTTCCAGGCTGGCTAACAGTGGTGGGATGACCTAGTGGCCTCTCATCCCTTCCTAACCAGAATGGATGCTGAATAACAAAGATCACCTTCGAGAGAAAGTTGGGGTGGGAAGTGAAGAGAGCCAGACTGCAATCACAACCCAGGGAGCTAGTTTGGTGGTGTGATCCAGGTACTGGCTGAGAAACCAGGAGAAACTCTTAGGCATGAAAGCCAGTTGGGGGCGATTAGGTGCCAGTTACTCTGTCTTATGTCTTAGCTCACCACACAAGGTTGTTGTTGGAGAAAATGGGAGGCAGGAGTAGAAAGCATGCTTGGTGCCTTGACTGATGGGAGATATAGATAGATAGATAGATAGATAGATAGATAGATAGATAGATAGATAGATAGATAGATAGATAGATAGATAGATAAGACAGACAGACAGACAGACAGACATTAGAGACACACACACAAATATAAAGAACAATACACACACACAGATGATAGAGAGATTAGATAGATGATATAGATGGATGATATCTATGGATGGATGATATAGATGGATGGATGGATGGTGGGTGGATGGATGGATAGATATAGAGCAGGCAGGAAGAAAGAGAGGGAGAGATAGATAAGGCAGGGAGAAAGAGAGAGAGGGGGATAAATAGAGGCAGATGACAGATAAATGATATAGACACCAAGTGATAGATGGATAGCTATGGATAGATGATAAATGATATGGATATCTAGAGGAGGATAGATATATCCATATCTGCCATATCGATGTGGATATAGATATACATTTTTGCACATCGATATGGATATAGGTATGTTTACATTTGGATATATGTACATTTTTATCCCACGATACCCTACATATAGATACAGTGGGATAAAAATGTAATACCAACAACAGACCATCTCACTTGCCACGCTTGTGCTGGTGGGGAAAACACGAAGTTTGAATATTGTGGATGTTCGCCACCTCGAGCCCATGATTCCACAGTAAAGCAATACATTTTTCTTTACAAAAGTCACACAAATCAATAAGTAATAATAGTAATAGTAACAATGATGATACATCATGTTAATAATAATAATAACAATAATAACAATAATAATAATAAGGTCAGCTCTGAGCCCCTTGTGCCAAGCCAGCCTGGCTGCCGTTGGAGGCCAAGGGCTGAAAGGACGAAGGCAGCGAGGCCCCAACCAGGGCAGGGCGGGGAAGGGCTTGCCCAGGCCGGAGGGCTGGGGGGGGGAGGAAGGGTTCCGGGTTCAAGCCCCCCGTCGGCCACCAAAATCATTTTTTGGGGGGAAGGGGACGTCCTACTTCGCAGGGAGGTTGTTAGGGGTAGGGGGGGCAAAGCGGGGTCTAAGTGTGCTCTTGGGGGGGGGAACCTCCCCGGCGTTGCCATGGCGACGGAGCCTCGACCTACCGACCGTTACCACCTTGTCCGGGTGGGGGGAGGGGGAGGAGGGCTTGAAATCGGCTAGCGGAGCGGATCCCACTATCTCCCCCCCCCCGCTCCGAGCATGCGCAGACGCGGAAGGCAGCACCCGCTTACCTCGCTGGGCGCCCGCCGGGAGCCCCGTTTCGCCCCCCACCCCACCCCCGCCGTTGACTTCCCGTCGCGTCTTTCGCCGAAGAAAACCAAGGCCACGTGAGCTTCCGCCGCAGGGCCGCCACAGGCTTCTGGGAAACCGAGTCCGGCCGCCAGAAGCGGAGGACCGAGGCGGGAGCCGCGTTGCTTGCTGGGAAGCGTAGTTCTTTCCCGCCGAGGGGGGGGGAAAGAAGCCACCGATTGGACGATCGGGAGGAAGTTAAGGAGACTCGCGTCCGGAGGTTTTTTTTAAACCCCTTCATTGCTGAGGTTTTCCCCCACCTCCCTTAGCCTCCTGTGTTTGATAGCAAGAGGGTGGTGGTGGGAAACGGAGACTACGACTCCCGGCACCCCCTGCGCTCCAGCGCCTGCGGGAAAGATGGGAGACGAAGAGGAGAAGCAGCAGCCGCGCGTGCTGCAAATGGTAAGCCCGGGTGGAGGGAGGCGGGCGTCGTTGTTCTAGGCTAGCAGGCAGAAATCCAACCGGTGAAGCCTAAAGCAAATCAGCAACCCCCCCTAGCTAACCCTAACCCTAGCTATCTACCTATGGTTATATCTATTATTTATCTCTATATATATCCCCCCGCTCTCTTTTGCGATTTATCTATCATTTACATATATCATCTATCTCTAATCTCTATCATTTATCTATCTAGTAGAAGATGGTGTTTGATTTCGTTGTACGAGGTGCAATGACAATAAAGTAAACTAAACTATTTCTATCATCTATCATGTTTATCGATCTGTTTATATCTACAGTTTATCATCTATCTCTACATCATCTCTATATATATCATCCAGCTCTATCTCTCTATATTTACGGTTATATCATCTATATATCATCTCTGTATCTACGGTTTATCATTTCTCTCTCTCTCTCTCTCTCTCTCTCTCTCTCTCTCTCTCTCTCTATATATATATATATATATATATATATATATATATATATATAATCTATATCATCTATCTCGGTGTCGGGTTTCGGTTCAATGTGTGGAATTATTTTCATGGTCATGAAGGGCATTGAAAATGGTGTTTGATTTCGTTGTACAAGGTGCAATGACAATAAAGTAAACTAAACTATCATCTATTTCTATCATCTACTGGATACACTATTATCTCTACTTAAATATATGGTTTATCATCTATTTGTTTTCGTAGATTTTCACGGGTACAGGTATGTAGGTCTAGGTGTGTTCGGGTCTTTTCCTGTGTAAGATTAAGAGTATCTTGGCGATGTTTCGGCGAGGTCCCACTCGCCATCCTCAGGCTGGTGCTTTCGGCTTTGTGCCAGTGCAAGCAGTGTGTGATCGGAGCTGCCGTCTCTCTGTAAATACTGGGGGGGGGGGGGGGGGGGGCTGGTATGCTGGGCTGGTTGGCTGTGCTGCTACCTCTTGATTGGTTGATGTTGGTATAATGGGCTGTGTGATGGCCTTGTAAGTTTTGTTGTGGAGATATCCTGGATCTTGTGCTGTAATCTCCTGGGTCATTTGTTTTGTAGTGATCTTTTTTCCATTAGCCTCTCGTGTTTTAACGGCTTGGGTAATGGGTTGTGTGATGGGCTTGTGATGGGCTTGCAATAGATGATGGGCTTATCTACCTATATATATCATCTATATCATCTATCTATATATATATCATCTCTCTATCAATCTATTTATATCTACGATTTATCTATCATCCATCCATCCATATGGGTTTTTTAAGGGCTAATGTAGCAGGTGGAAATCTATCAGGTGAAGCTTTCACCTCGGCTTTTTAGTTATTCAAAAGTCATCCTCCTCCCCATCCTCATGATTAGCAGTTGCCATGGCTAAGCAAGGCACTTGTTGAGTGAGCTTTACTGCGAGTGAGTGAGCCCCATTTTACAGCTGTTTTGCCACTGGTGTTAAGCGAATCACTGCAGTTCTTAATGAATCTGGCTTCCCCTATTCGCTTTACTAGCCGGATGGGAAGCTCGCAAAAGATGATCATATGAACCCGGGACAGTACAACTGTCATAAACACATCCCGGTGGCCAAACACCCAAATTTTGATCCCATGATCATGGGGATGCTCCCACGGTCGCTTGCCACTGAAAAAAAGTCAGGAGTCCCTTTTTTTTAGTGCCTTTGTAACTTCAAACAGTAACGTCAAACAAATGATTGTAAGTCAAGGACTAAGATAGTTGGGGGATGGATATAGAGCAGGGGTCTCCGACCTTGGCAACTTTAAGACTTATGGACTTCTGTTGGAAGAATTATCCTTCTGGATTCAGTTCCAAGTGGGGAAGAAAGACACTGGAAACATGGTGGCTGCTTGGAAAGATGGTTTAATGGTGGACAGGATCACATGCCTCGGGTGAAGAAAGAAGGAAGAAAGACTGAGATGCTGAGAGACCCTTAGTTTGATAACTTCTGTTGGGCCCCACCTTATAGTGTTTCCTGTTCCTGTGTAAGAAAGGTATCCCATTGGCTGTCAGACTCCCGGGGTGGTGGTGGTCTTAACTAACTTTGTAGGCTTTGTCTGGATCACATGGCTTCACCTGAGTGCTGGCTGATGCAATCTTCCCAGACCAGGTGGTGAGATTGGTAGAGGCCTTTATTATGTGGAATACTCTGGCCAGGCCTTAATGGGCCATTAGCAAAGGTCTGGGGGCTGAGTTTCTGCCTCTCTGAGTTGAGTTTCTGCTTCTGAGTTTCTACTCTTTTTAGGGGAAATATTCTGCCTTTTCAATATTTCCTAGGATACTTCATTTTTTTCTAGGAGAGGTGTGGGTTTTAACTTCCAACACTTCCATAAGTCTTAAAGTCTCAAAGAATTCCACAAGCCTTAAAGTTGCCAAGGTTGGAGACCCCTGATATAGAGAACTAGTTCAAATACCCATGCTTCACTACGAAACTATGTGGTCGGGCTTAGTATTGGGGGAGGAAAATAAGGGGGGGGCGGAAATTTTGCCTCTGCCTACCAGCATCCATCGGTATTCATCTGGCTAGTGTCCTGTCAGTGTGTGACAGAGTTGAGGACTGTTTGGAAACTGAAACAGTATTTGCTGTATGAGCAAGAAGGAGACAGCCTAAAGCTGTTTGGTGCTGCTGTGAAACTCAAACAGAAACTCCTCTCCTCTGCTTGTGTTTTACATTTGGACATATTTATTTTTAGGTGGGGAGGGGGAGTTGAATTCCTCAGCATCAGAGCGTGTTAATAATAATAATATAGGAAATGCTAATGCTCTGATGGTCATTTTGAAAAATCCTTTCTTAGTGAGCACCTAGAAGGAACATAGGTGCCAGATTTCAAGTTTGTATGCTTTATAGTTCTGGAGATTTTGTGATGAGTTTTCTTTCTCTTCCTCTGTCTGTAGGTACGAGCTGAGGGGTCAGATAAGACCTGTATCACCTTTGTGCTCAACAATGAAGATCACACCCTCGGCAATTCTTTGAGATACATGATTATGAAAAAGTAAGCAAAAAGGTTCCTGTATGCTTATATCTCTAGTTCTCAAGCATCCTTAAGACCAAGCTGCTAACATTTGGTACCAAACTGCCAAAGAAGAGCAGCATTTTTTTTCCAGATATATTTTCTTATTTTTTTAAAAAAGGAGTAGTTATATTAAGCATTCCGTGACCTGAAGAGCGACATTTCCTTAAAACTGCATCCATAGACAATTTCATGGAGACAAAAATAGTTTGCCATTCCATTTTTCTTCGAGGAGAGTTGCTTTTGGTCTTTCTACACAGCATTCAAGCATTTTCGGACCGCCTTGCCCAGATTCAAGAAAAATGGGCCCATCGTCCTATCAAAAATCTGGGTGATCTGATTGGTATCTGTTTTTTTTTTCCAACCCAGGTTAGATAAACCTAGTCTGAAAATGGGCACCAATGTTTGTTGTTGTTAGTTGTGAAGTCATGTCCAATCAATCGTGAGCCCATGGAGAACATTCCTCCAGGCCTTCCTGTCCTCTACCATCTACCAGAGTCCGACTGCTTCAGTGACTCCATCCAGCCACCTCATTCTCTTCCATTCCCTTCTTCTGCCTTCCATCATTCCCAGCGTCCTTCTCATGAGGTGGCCAAAGTCTTTGAGTTTCATCTTCAGGATCTGACCTTCTAAAGAGCAGTCAGGGTTGATCCCCTCTGGGGCTGACCGGTTGAATGGCCTTGCAGTCCAAGGGACTTGCAGGAGTCTTTCTTCTCCAGCACCAGAGTTCAAAGGCCTCCATTCTTCGGTGCTCAGCCTTTCTTTTTGAGTACTAAATGTAAAGCCTAGCCTTTCCTGGTGTATAACTTTCAGAGTATTGGACACAAAGAGAACATTCTTTGATTTTTTTTCATCTCCTCTGCCTCTGTCACAATCTTCTCTCTCTTTCCCTGCAGCCCTGAAGTTGAGTTTTGTGGTTACAGCATCACCCATCCTTCGGAAAGCAAAATCAACTTCCGCATCCAGACCAGAGGTGAGAGCACCCAGTTCTTCTTCCTGGACGGCCCATGGAATGGGCCAGGCAGCTTCTCCTTTTCTTTTATTTGTTTATTTTTTTTAATAACTTTTATTGAAAATTTAAAACATTAAAATACAAGATACAAATATTTAAAATGAAACTGTTGTGTATATTACAATCCATGGGGGCAATGCTTACATTTCAATTGTTATTCCAGTGCGTATTTTATACTCCTATTTGTTCTTATGTATATACCTGTATCTTTCTAAATTATACATTCCTTATTTATTTAATTGCTTAGTTCTGTCATTTATCCAATGGTATCAATTTTCCCATACTATATCAAAAACAGTCTTCCTTCTCTTTTAATTCTAATGAAAGTTTGTCCATTTCCGTGCAGTCGAAAATCTTTTGGATAATTGAACTATCTGTCGGCATAGAATCTCCTTTCCAACATTGTGCGAGTGCTAATCTCACTGCTGTTATTATATGCAGGATTAAATATTTTATTTCTTTCGTATAATTCCCTTTGATGATTCCCAGAAGAAATACTTCTGCTTTAATTTCTATTTGGACTTTTGTAATTTCTTTTAACCATTTTCATATTTTGGTTCAATATTTCTTAACTTAGCCACCACATGTGAAAGAAGGTACCCTGTAATTGCTTACATTTCCAACAATTTGGACTTAAATTAGGATACATTTTAGTCAATCTCGAAGGGATTAGATACCACCGATAGCACATTTTATATTGATTTTTTAATATGATGCTGATTTCGCTATTGCATAGCATTTTTTTTCCAGATCTTTTCCCAATCCTCCAGTTTTATATTATGTCCCAAATAGCTTCTTCTTTTCATGGGAAATCTTGTGCCTGCTTTTTCAGCTCATGAGCTCCATTGCCCTAGAGAAGCTTGTCTTTCCAAAACAATGACATGTCACCATTGAAGGGCAAGGAGGGAGTGGATTGTGCACTAATTTGCCATTAAGCCACAGCACGGATTGCGTCTATAAAAGAGCTGTGTAAAAAGTTCAGCTTCTGGTATAGCTAAAACTTTTTGGGCCTCCTGATTGCACTATGTCAACATTTCAACTTTCTCTCCTCCCTCCCCGATTTCTGTTAAAAAGCAAAGCAGATCTCTTTTAAGTTTTGCAGAGATTTAAGGCATCCTTCCCTCCTTAAAACGAAAGATACTTTGAATGGATTCAATACACAAATACACAAATTGGATTCTTTCCTCATTCAGCGTAGCCTTTGACATGTCATTTGGACTCTGGTATGACTCTCAAACCAAGAGAAATTTTGCATCGTGGCTTAGGATGTAAGATTATTGGCTAAGAGGCTGAGGAATGAAAAGTTCCCAGATAAATGCTGCTTCTGGTATGAATTTGAACAAACCCAAGGTCCTTCCCATCGAGTTGAAGGGAGAATATCGCTAAGTACGGAGACTGCTCTGAGAATTGTACTTAAAGTGTGTATATGAAATGGGTTGCCTCTTCAGATGCTACACGGCTATTACGCGTGCAGCTTGCTTTGGATAAGTTGGTGGTTTGTCACTGATGACCAAGAATTGCATGCAAGGTTATATGCCAAATATATAGGCAGCAAAAATTGCAGAGAAAGTCCCAAAAGTCAAAATCAGCGTTAATCAGTGCCCCGACTCTTGCATGAAATAACTCCATTGGGGCAGGTTTTTGTTCGCGCTGGACTGGCTGCCATCTTGATTATTATTATTTTTTTGCCTTCTTTTCTACTACACTACTGCAAACAGGCAAGGAGATGCAGAGGCCTCAGCTCCTTGCTCTGATGTAGGCTTCCCAAGATCATGAAGCAGATTCCTCATCCCGATAAAACCCCTTTTATTTAGGTTTAAGTGAATCCCTCTCCAGCAAAGTCCCTTCATGAGAATTCCTCTCCAGTCTTTCATGAGATTTCACAACTAGAGACCTTTATCAGGCTTGGAGAGTTGCCAGGCCGACATATCTTCCAAACGCCACGCTGTAGCAGCAATGACTTGGCAAGAAGTCAAGAACAGATCTTCAACCTAATGAATTGAACTAATTGCCTCTTGCAAATACCACTCCCCTTTTGCTCCTCTTTATTTCCGACGGGAGGGGCCATTCACTGTCTACCTGAGCCCTTGTTCCTTAACTGTTCCCTTCTGGCAGCTCTGTGCATGAGCACACTGGGAACAGGCTCCAGCTGTTCTTCTGCCCTACTGATCTCCAACACCGAAGGCAGCTGATAATTATCAGATGGCCCTGGCCCCATCTCTGCCTCTGACGCAAAGCACTAGTCAGAGCCTTCCCCAGACTGCAGGACTGGCCCATGCTTCTCCCCAACCTCCTCACTGTCCGAGTCTGCCACCAGCTCCACTGACCACTAATGGGCCACAACACTCCTTTTCTAGTCTTCCATGCTCATGGCAGAAGGGGTTATTTTTAAAAAAATGCAGCCTAATTACTGTTCACATTATTATTTTACAAGGGAAAGACACAAATTGGAGGATCAATTATTTTTTATCCTATTGGGGCTCTGGGGGATTTGTATGGATTCTAGTGTTCCATGTTGCTATTTCATGATTTTTGACAACCTTACTGATGAGGCTTCCTAAAGTCTGATAATGTCGGCAGCGTACAAATAATGTAATATAAATAAAACTGATTTTTTTCCCCCTCTCTGATCGCACAGGAGGCCTACCTGCTATAGACGTGTTCCAGAAGGGACTGGAAGACCTTATGGGTGTCTGCCAACACATCCTTAACACATTTGAGGTGAGTCAGTGCAATTTGCTTGGCACAGAAGGATATAACATCTAGACCAGGGGTCTTCAAACTTGACAGCTTAAAGACTTGTGGACTTCAACTCCCAGAATTCCTCCTCTGGTCATGTTAGCTCAGGAATTCTGGGACTTGAAGTCCACAAGTCTTTAAGCTGCCAAGTTTGAAGACCCTTGACCTAGATAAAGACAGAAGGCTGCAGGTAAAACTTAAGGCCAAGTCCTGAGGTTTCGGAGCAGGGAGTAAGTAAGAAATCTGAAATAGAACATCTTGAAACCCCCATTAGAAAGTGATACTTAGGGGATTGTCAAAATCAGCAGGATGAAATAAGCACAAATGGGCACAAATAGCGTTTAGGTTTTATATACCACTCCATAGCACTTTAGAGCAGTGGTCGCCAACCAGTGGGCCAGGGACCACTGGTGGTCCATGAGAAAATTTTGGTGGTCTGCAGAGAAATGTCACCCACGAAGCAATTAATCCAGGCAGCATGGGAACAGAAGGCTGCGCTGCCCACATGGCCCGTGGGAACACAAGGCTTGCATCGCTTGCATTGCAAACAACATGAGGTAGTGAGGGGAGGGGGGAAAGGGCGGGGACGGGGGGAAACTTGCCCCTGGTGCTTCTTTCTGCTTCTTTCTTCTGCTTTTGGCTCCACGCAAGGAAACCAGCAAAAGGCTTTCTTTCGCTCCTCCAAACTCCACCAGAAATGAGTCTTTGGGACCCCGCAAGGCATCCTTGCTCCAAGAGGCTGTGCCAACACAAGAAGCCTCACAAAGACTCATTTCTGGCAGAGTTTGGGGGAGAGAAAGAAAGGCTTCTGCTGCTTCTGCTGCTTTCCTTGCATGAAGCCAAAAGTCTCTCTCTCTCCCCCTGAGAACGGAGCTGCGATCCCAAATAAAGAATGATCGATTAGTAGGAAAACCGGGAGGGGAATTTTCCCGCAGACTTTTTGGGGGGATTTTCCCAGGGTCTCTGATCTGCGGGATTTAAAATTACGAGTTTGGTGGTCCCTGAGGTCCAAAAGGCTGGAGACCCCCTGTTTTAGAGCATGCTCGGAGTGGTTTACAACACAGAAGTATTATTTGAATGTTGCCCCTAACAATCTGGGTCCTCATTTAGAATAGAGTAGAATAGAGCTGGGAGGGACCTTGGAGGTCTTCTAGTCCAGCCCCCTGCTCAATCAGGAGACCCTATGCCACTTCAGACAAATGGCTGTGCAATCTCTTCTTAAAAACCTCCAGTAATGGAGCACCTGCAACTTCTGAAGGCAAGGAGTTCCACTGTTTAATTGTCCTCCCTGTTAGGAAGTTTCTCCTTAATTCCAGGTTGCTTCTCTCCTTGATTAGTTTCCATCCATTTGTTTCTTATCCTGCCTTCTGGTGCTTTGGAAAATAGGTTGACCCCCCCCACTTCTTTGTGGAAGCCCCTCAAATACTGAAAACACTGCGATTATGTTGCCCCTAGCCCTTCTTTTCTCTCGACTAGCCATACCCAGTTCCATGGTCCTGCCAGATGCCCCTGCAAAGAGCTTGGGTTGCATTCAAAGGAGGCTAGAATCAGAGTCGCCTGAACCGTGAGAAGGGCGGCAAATAAATTTGATAACTCAATAAAATAATAAATAAACAAGGGGATCTTAATAAAACCATTATTGGTGGCCATTTTCATGCCGGGATGGTGTAAACAACCGACATCCCTTAATCAAGGGACTGGACTAGCTGGCTTTTGTTGAAGTGCTTCTCTCTGATTCTGTAGCACAAAAAGTCAGGATCTTTCTTTGTTTTTTTTTCTATTGCAGGCAAGCGTAGAAGAATACAAAGCCATGAAGGACGTGACAATGCAATAGTATGTCGACAGCCGCATAATGGATAAAACTCTGCCTACAGCAACGGGTTGAGAAGCTAGGACTTATTAAAAAGACATTTTGTTTTTGCTTTTTTTAAAATAAAAATCTCTTTTTTTAAGGCCTGTGTGATGGGATCTATAGTCTCCCTTTCGGGCAAGGGTCCCCAAATTATTATTTTTTTAAATCTCTCTTTTTCTAAGGCCTGCGTGACGGGGTCCCCAAACTTAGCAACTCAAAGACTTGTGGACTTCAACTCCCAGAATTCCTCAGCCAGCATAGCTGGGAGTTGAAGTCCACAAGTCTTCCGAGTTGCCAAGTTTGGAGATATTTGCTTTTAGGGTTTATAACGCATCCTATCGTCAGAGAGCAGCGAGAATCCTACATTAATACTGCAGGATTTTTTTTATCCAGTGGTGGTAACTCTTTTCAAGATGTCATGTTTGTGAGGGGTATATTTTCAGCGGATGGCTCAACCAAATTTGAAATTTCCTTTTTTTTTTTTAAAGCTATCCGAATAGGTGCGTGGGATGTTCTCCTCCAAGCCATTGAGAGTTAAGGTGGCTATACTAGTAGAAAGGTGTCTAAAAGGACATCCAGAGGGAGAAGGCTGAAAGGTTCCACTTCTTGTGAACTAGCTTCTGGCAATGGTGATATCTGAGACCCTGGGAATGGTTGCCACAGTCTCTGTTGCACTGAAATATACATCCTGTTTTGGTTGCCATAATACAGGAAGGATGTCAAACTCAATTTTGTTGATGGCCACATCAGGGTTGGGGTTGACCTCAGGGGGGCCCAGCTGGGCAGGACCAATTGGATGGGTGTGGCCAGCTTGAGGCCACTCATTGGGCATGGCCAACTGGGTGGGTGTGGCTATTGATCGTATCTTTTCAGCTATAATTGTAGACCTGAGATCTGCTAATACAGACGTTGCCATCACTAATATCTGTAACCTTTTTATTCAGCATTTTATTGAGAGAAAAAAAAGTTATTTTAGTCCACGTTATGGTTTACACAGACCGTCAGAAAATCCTAAATCCTAATGTTACATTGAGACTATTACAAACTCTTCAGAGGCTACTCAAGTTAAAAGTAAAATAAAGAAAGCACAGTTGCTGTTCTTTGGATCAGCTGGAATTTGGGAATGTTTGGATTCAAAATTAAATATCTCTTAGATCATCTTTCCGAATTCAATTAGAGGCCTGGGTTGTTGGCAGAGGCTTCCTAAACCGATGGCCTCCATGCCAGGTAGGAATTTCAGATGTTCAAATCTGGAATAAACCAGGCCATGGAAAGCTCCTCCAATAGAAGCCTAAAGCTAATTTAGCTTTATTCCTTAACTTATGACAATTTGTCTGTGCAGATTTTCAGCCATCCAGGTCACGGTTGCCTTAAAGGTGCTTTTTTCAAGAGGCGACTGGACTTCCTTGTTTTTCCTCTTGTTAAGATGTTTCACTTCTCATCCAAGAAGTTTCTTCAGCTCTGACTGGATGTGGGGAATGGAAGGATTTATACCCCGTGCAGACAGATCTGGTCATTTGCATTTTTTTAGAGAGTCGAATGTGTGTATGAACAGATTTCCAGAAAAATTTTAGACTATAGGAACCATTTGCCCTTCAGTCTGAGATGTAGGCAACACGGACTCATAGTCAACATCCTGTGCGTGTGCTCAACAGTGAAGGGACACGGGGCAGAAAACATCCAGCAGCCACGAAGGCTCCACACCCATTTGCACTACTCAGGTGACCCTGAAGACACATAAACCTCCAAGTGGCCTCAACGACCCCTTAAAAGGATGCAAATGACCAGCTGTCTACAAATCCTTCCATTGCCCACCATCCAGTCAGAGCTGAAGAAGCGTCTTGGATGAGAAGCGAAACCTCTTCAAGAGAAAAAACAAGAAAGTTGCCTCCTGAAAAAGCACCTTTGGGATCATGACAATTTGTTTAATGTTTTGATGGTGTCAGGAAAAGCGATTTAACAACCCATCCTCAGAGTTTAACAACTGTCGCAGTCACAATTCAGGCACTTGGCAACTGGTGCGCATTTATAATGGCTGCAGTGTTTGGCAGTCATGTGATCACAATTTCTGACCTTCGCAGCTGGCTTCTAACAAAATCAGTTGGGGAAGCTGGATTTGCTTAATGACTGTGATTCACTTAATGATGATACGATTCACTTACCAACCACAGTAAATTGGTCGTTGTTATATTGGTCCAGCTTAGTGTGAAATTCTGGTCCCCAATCGTCGTAAGTCGAGAAATACCTTTAGGACAGGGGTGTCAAACTCGATTTCATTGAAGGCCGCATTGGGGTTGTGTTTGACCTCAGAGGGTGGGGGGTAAAGCCAGAGTGGGTGTGGCCAGCTTGACGTCATTTGTTCCAGGGGCACCTGTGGCGGCCTGAGCGTTTTCCCAGCGAAAACAGGCTCCCGAGCTCCGTTTCCGGCTGCGATGGCCTCCTGCAACCCTCTGCCAGCGAAAACAGAGCTCGGGAGGGCCACGCGTGGGCCAGTTCCTCGCTCAGTTTCCAGGGTGGCCCCATGGGCCAGGTGTCAGTCTCCAAGCATCCTCCTCCTTGTCTTTCCGGCTGCCATAGAAACGGGGGGGAGGGAAGAATAATTGGCCTTCGTGGGGGAAGAGTGCTAGAGGATGAAATTGGAGAATTGTAAAAGTTGGGATGTTTTCCTGACTATGCTTACTTGCTTACTTCACAGATGTAGCCTCTTATCTGTCTAAGCCAGGGGTATTCAAACTTGATCGCTTTAAGACTTGTAAACTTTAACTCCAGAATTCCTCCTCCAGTCATATTAGCTCAGGAATTCTGGGAGTTGAAGTCCCCAAGTCTTAAACTTGCCAAGTTTGAAGACCCTTGTAATAGATGATAGATACATAAATAGATAGATGATTGATTGATAGATAGGTAAATAGGTATGGAGAGAGAGAGATGATAGATTAGATAGATAGATAGATAGATAGATAGATAGATAGATAGATAGATAGATAGATAGATAGATAGATAGATAGATAGATGATAGATGGATGATAGATCAGGGGTCTTCAAACTTGATCGCTTTAAGACTTGTGAACTTCAACTCCCAGAATTCCTTCTTCAGTCATGTTAGTTCAGAAATTCTGGGAGTTGAAGTCCACAAGTGTTAAACTTGCCAAGTTTCAAGACCCTTGGTCTAAGCCAAGGTCAGCCTGTCTGAAACGCCACCTGAAGATGCCCCACATGACATAAATTATACATCACTGATTGGATGGCCAGTTTGAACTCTTGCAGGTGGGAACATGGGGTAACTTTCTATATGTGATTTTCACACCTATTGCCTCAGATCTTGTATTTCTACCGATGCTACCACTTCAAATTCAGTAAAAGTCCTTTTTTCTATAACAATGGAGTCTAAGGTTTTCTTTCTTGGGTTTTGAATGGACCTGACACCAGGTCTAAACACCTCGCGAGCCAGAACCTTGGTTTTTGACACCCCTGGTCTAGGAGGTTTAGGCCGAAGGAAAGACACTAAACTTGACTGATGTATTCCCAGTAAATGGATCTAGGATTATAATTTTAGTCTTTTATCAGTAAAATATTTAATTCGCTTCCTAGCATGAGGAATATAATAAAAGCAAAGCCGTTTGTTTAAAAAGGGTAGGGGTAAGGGGTAAAGTTAGAAATATTAGCAAGATCCAGAACACAGGCAATGTGGATGCATTCCTGAGCGTCTCATCTTTCAGGATTTGCTGTTGTATCCTAAGCAAATAATCCTTTCTAAATAGGAGAATATAATATAATACATATAATCAGCCCCTAGGTTGGCAATGTATTAGAATATCTATACTAAGAGATTGGGACATACTTATATACATACATACATGTTTCTGGAGTGGTAAAAGGTAAGAGATTCTGTAAAATCTGTTGCTTTCGAGATTCATGACCACTGGATCTACTCTCTCTGTTCTTAAGGATACAATTGGCTAGGTTCAGCGTGCCCTGTGTTGACAGTTGTGGTGGCTCACTGTGTATCACAGTGATAAATCCACCCGTGTGTTGTTAGTTTATGCTTTTGTTAACTTGGATTCTAGCAAAACAAGATTCCACCAACTATTAGTGAGACAGGCATCAAATTGAATCTATTTGAGACTTGCTCCAGATCTTCAGCTTCATGGGTGATGTGTTCTTCTAAGGCAGAGGTCTCCAAGCTTGGCAACTTTAAGATTTGTGTACTTCAACTCCCAGAATTCTCCAGCCAGAAGAGACTCCCAGATTCTGGGAGTTGAAGTCTATAAGTCTTAAAGTTGCCAAGTTTGGGGACCTCTGTTCTAAGGACATCTCAAGTTTATTATCCTCTAGAGCAATAAAATACAATTTCAGTATTTTTTGTGGGGTCTATTTCCTGACATGACCTAAACTGGAGAGGCTGCTATCAATCTTGAAAGTCAGAGAGAGAGATTCTCTTTCTCCTCTTATGACATAGACAGTCAAGGTAGCTCAATCTTGAGTTTCCTTCTCACACCCTCCTGTTTTTCTGGGTCAAGATGATTTTGTAACAGTTTCTCCAAGGTTATTCTCCACACGCCTCTGTACCTAATGATCATTCTACTCTGCAATTATGGGTGTTACATTGCACATCTAACCCACTTTTCTTCTAGCATCTTAAGAAGCACCTGGTATGGATCTTCCCACACCTTGTCCCAACTACAAGAACCGTGTAAGGTAGGTTAAGCTGGGACAGATGTACTTGACCTAAAATCATCCACTTAGTTTCAGGGTTGACTGGAAAAGTCGAACTGAGCCTTACTAGTCTTAAACCAACAGCTTCATCGCAAGAATAAGTAAGGGCATTGTGCGCCTACTCATGGGCCTTCATTGGTGGGAAAAGGAATGGATTATACGATTAAATGTTGCTGCATAAGAACAAAAAAAAGGTTATTTACATATTTATGTCAGAATTTGGGATGCAGGTTAGTATTATGATGTCACTGTGCATGCTACCACTTTGATGTAACCTCAGTTACAGGTGAACTATAAATCCTACTGCATTTTCTTGGAAAGGAACATGGGTAGTGCAAGAGATTCCATCTTCCTACCTACTCCTGTCCCATTCATGTCTTAGGCACCGTTTAAGGTGCCTCCGGGTTGAAAGGATCAGCCGGTGACATCACCGTTGCCTGGGGGACATCCATGGGGGCTCTTTTCATATCCCTGTCAAGGAGCTGGAGCGAATGATGAGAGCTCACCCAACCACACAGCAGCATCTGAGTCTCAAATGCAGACTTGCTAACCCCCAATCCAACGTACTAACCATGCGAGCCACCGTGTTCCTTCCTACCTAGTTAGCTTAAGAAAGAAATGTCCTGATCCCGAAGCTTGTATGAGGAGTCAGTGACAAGCCATGTTTGTCCACTGGGAAATAGCTCAATTTCTCAGGTCTGGGCCAACCTTTAGTTCTTTTCTGTTTTCTCCTGGTTGAGTATCAACCCCTGGTTTCTGTTTGCTGTAGTCCCCCTTATACAGAGCAGAAAACCCTGGATCAAGCCCATTCTTATGGTCCTACGCAATATTTTATTCTGTGAGGAAGAATGAGTAAAGAAAAGGATGTGATGATCATTGAGAGATCAAAAAAAAGGGGGGGGGGGAAGAGAAGAGAAAAGCAATATTTTTAGCAGGGACTTTTGAGAAATCTGACCTTTGAGAGAAGTCAGAGATGATTGAGATCAAGGCTGATCCCTGGGGAGGAAAATTGAATTCAAGAGGAATACCCCAATCCAAGATACGGTATCCAAGAAATCTATCTCAAAATTCCAACCAGATTTTCTTTTCTTCCTGGGTCTAAGTTGAACTGCACTTGTTACTCAGGTGAGAACTGCTCCGGTCGAGTTCCTGCCCGTTGGCTTTCCATTTCCCCACAGATCCCTTGTCATCTGTTGGGAGGATGCCAAGTGCTGGCCGGTGGCACCAGCAACAAAGGCAGGACTAGGAGAAACAAAGAAGAGATGAGAGTCATTTAGGGCAGGAATGAAGAATAAGCTGAGATGGACAGATGACAAATATCGTCCTCAATCGCTGATGAAATTTGTCTTATTCTTCCTGGCCCAGGATAGGCCAAGAAGTCACTAATTGTAGCTCTGCCTTCACACACTCTGCTAAGGTTATTTGTCCTCCAGAATTAGATCATAGCAATAGCATTTTAGACTTACATACTGCCCCATAGTATTTTACAGCACATTCTGAACAAGACTATATTTTACAACGTCAGTATTACTTGCATATTGCCCCCAACAATCTGGCTCCTCATTTCACCAACCTTGGAAGGCTGAGTCAACCTTAAGCCCCATCAGGATTGAATTTCCTAGGGGTGGGCAGAATTAGCCTGCAATAGTGCACTTAACCATTGTGCTACTGGGGCTCCAGGTAAGCTAGCAGTAACCACAGCTAGCCCAATTCTGCTTGCTGGTGATGAAAGAGAAGGGACTGTCTGTGCTCTCCACCCCACAAGAGGTGTTTCATGCTGCTTGTAAACCATATACTTTTCATCTGAGCTTCTGCTAAGTGGAGTTGGAGCCAAAAAAAGATTGCAGACATAGATACTCAAAGAGTAGGAATTTCTTGGGAAGAGAAGAAATTATCATAAAGGAAGAGTAATCATGCAGGGTCCAATCTGGCTCACTGGGACTAGAAGTTTTATCTTCCTAGGATTCCAGCAATCGCCCGAATTAAATCATGAGCCTCGATCCAAACTTCAAAAAACTTCAAAAGATTTATTAGGAGCGACATGCTGGCATGACCTGTATGAAGCCGACTCTGAGGTACACAATTTACAATCACCTATGACCCTGTTTCCCCACCACCCCTCTGGGTGGATCATAATTCAGATTGTCCAAGGAAACAGGTTCGTGGACTGGGTGTCATCAATCACGCCCTCCAATAGAAAATGTTTGCGCCCAGAATTCCCGGTTGCCTCAGTTGCAATCTTTGTGAGATGAGCTTGGAAAGTGCTTCTGAGTTCCTTCAGGGTTTTTTCCCCTTTCTCTTCCTCCCCCCTAGCCCTAACCCTAACCCTTTTCTTATGGCAACTTGGGAACAGGCGTAGGAATGTTTTACAAGCCTGGAGAGAAGTTATCTGAAGATGGGCTCCAGCATAAGTCCAAAAGCTCGGAAGATAAAATCTCTGGTCCCAGTGACTGACCCAGATTGGACTCTACAACATTATCCTGGGATATGTATATTCACCTTCTTTCGTGAGAAGTAATAATAACAAAGTGTTCCTCTCTATTTTTGATGGTACTGCTCCGGATGCTTCAATTCATCATCTCCCTCCCTCCCTCCCTCCCTTCACACACCATCTTTTCCTCAACTCTCTTACCTGAAAGCAATTCTTAAATTTCCGGCTAACAAAATAGAGAGCCACAGGGTTGATGCAGGAATTGAGAGAGGCCATGTTGATGCCAAAGTAATCCATAACCAGAAGGAAACTGAATGGAAGGAGACAAGAAAAAGCCATCATGTAGAACATTAAGATGAAGCAAGATAACATCTTCTAGGACAAAGTCAACTCTTGATGACTCCAAGAATATATCCAGCACTTTTCTTGACTATGGAAGAGGTTGCCGTTGCCTTCTTCTGGGAGTTTTTTTTTTTCCAACTTCCCAACCTGGTCTGTAGCCTTCCCTACTTTATCCTAGTCAAGTACTAACTAGGATTTAACCCATTTAGCTTTCTCTATTAGAAGAGCTGAGGTCAAGCTGTTTCTTTTCCTTGATAATTTTTTCAGTTCAAGCCAAATCCAGATGATCCAAAGGATTGCTTATGACCTGGTTAATTTATGGGTTGACTGTTGCAAGGCACTCTCCATGGGGCTGCCCTTGAAGACCACCTGGAAGCTTCAACGTTCAAGATACAGTAGTGTGGCCACTTATGGGCATGCCTCAGTTTACCCATGTCACATTACTGCTTCACTGGTTGTCAGGTTGCTTCCAGGTGCAAATCAAAGTGCTGGTTGTTACCTATAAAGCTGAACACAGCATAGGGCTCGATTACTTGAGGGATCATCTGTCTTGCATAGTATCTGCGCAGCTAAGTTGTTCTTGTAGGGTTGGTGCACTCTGGGACTTTTCAATTAAACCAGGAGTCTCCAGAAGTGGCAACTTCTGGACTTGTGGACCTTAACTCCCAGAATTCCAGTGAGTGGCTGAGGAATTCTAGGAGTTGAAGTCCGCAAGTCTTAAAAGTTGCCACATTTGGAGACCCTGAATTAAATCAACCCTCTGCTTATCTTGCAGAAGGAACTTCCTAAGTATAGCAGAATACTTTTGTGAAAGGATCTTGACCAAGGATGTACATGGTGATGAGTAGTAAATCTTCTGCATGGTTTGGGACTGCCCTGTGTCCTGATGATGCCAGATCCACTTGCATGATAAAAGCAATAGTTAGCCCAGCCCGAAGACCTTGTGTTTTGGGGGAAAGGCCATTAAAATCTTGACCATGGTTTGTACCAAGCTTCTTTAGATCTTCATCACTCCTTCACTACCCTACCTCAAGACTTTACACTGTTTTTAATCAAAGGAGCGTGCTGTTCATGGCTGTCTTGTTTACAATTTTATAGAGCTTTCTAATGGATGTTATCATGAAGGTCCCAGCTGGGGTGGAAAGGTGGCACAGCCATAATTGAATCAATGCACTTAACAATCAATAAGTAAAGCAAAAAGACTAATTGTCAAAACTGCTTCGATTTTTTTAAAAGTCTCAATCATCACCGCATGGCATTTCTGTGTATTGATCTCACCTAAGCAGCTCACATCTATCCGCATCTTGTTGGTTGTAGATGGTTTTCTTGAGGATCCTACTGAGATGAAGAGGAAGCCAGCAGAGGGCAAAGATGACCACTAGACAGAACACAGTCTTGGCCACTTCTCGGCGCTGGAAAACAAACGTGTGACCATTGAAACAAATAGTAGAAGATCAGAAAAAAAGACAAACAATTCTCTCATACTTCATTCCATCCTGTCCCCTCCAGTGCTTAGATCAGACCTTACGAGCTTCAGCCTTTTCCTGTTTCTCACTTATTTCTCTTTTCTTCTTGCTTGGGTTCCAGTTGTCTTAAATTGCTCTCAACTACCCAGAATCATAAGATGAGATGAACAGCGATATAAAACTTTTAAATAAAACTTAAGTAAATTTCATTTTAGTTTGCTTTATTGTCATCGCACTTTGTACAATGAAATTACATGCCATCATCAGTGTATATTATAACTCTAAAAATAAAACACAAACACACATTCTTCTCATTCTCTACAAGTGAATTGAAAAACCCTGATATTCCATTAACATTGCACTATACAGTAGAATTCAATAGAATTACTGCCCAGGGATAGAAGCTGTTTTTCAGCCTATTTGTCCTTGTTTTTATTATCCTGGACTGTCTGCCAGATGGTAATAGTTAAAAAAAAAAGGGTGCCCAGGATGAGATGGATCTTTGAGAATGGTTTGAACTTTCTTAAGGCAGCGAGAGCTATAAAGCTCTTCCAAAGAGGGGAGAGGGCAACCAATGATCCTCTGGGCAATGACGTTCACCCTCTGGAGTGCTTTCCTATCTGCCATTGTGCAACTGGAAAACCAGACAGAAGTGCAGTAAGTTAAAATGATCTCTATGGTGCAGCAGTAGAAGGTCACCAGCAGTTTTTCATGCAGTTGTTGTTTTCTGAGAAGCCTCAGGTAGTATAATTTCTGCTGGGCCCTTTTGACCAGGGCTGCAATGTGGGCACCCCAGGTCAGGTCCTCTTTTAGGGTAACACTCAGAAACTTAAAACTGGTCACTTGCTCCAGTGATAAGCAAGGGCTGGATGTCTGATCTGTTCCTTCTATAGTCCACTATAAGCTCTTTGGTCTTACTGGTGTTGAGGACCAAGTTATTGTCTCCACACCACGAAAGCAACCGGTCCACCTCATCCACCCACCCAAGAGATGAGTCCTACCACTGTTGTATACACTGTTGTTGTATCAGCAAATTATCAAAGAAAGAGATCCATTAATTTCTGAGCTATGTTGCATTTCCAGAGCAGGACCAAGGACAGCGTCAACAAATGTACATAATTGACCCTTATTTAAATCAGGTGAGTCCAACACATGGCCCACAGGCCACATGCAGCACTGGACAGCTCTTAATATAATCCCATAAGATAATAATAAATATTTTTTAAAAATAAAGGAGGTTTGTTTTTACATACATTCACTATATTATGCATTTTTATCATTGACTTGGCTTCATTATTAGTTGATTAGCCATCACCGCTGCTGCTTATACTTATTCATTTTGTGGATGCTTTTACTGTTTTACTGACTTTTCAATTGTTCTAATTATAAATTGTAATCGGAAGCCGCCCAGAATCATTACTTGGTTCATTTATTTGAATAAATAAAATAAAAATAAAGTAAAGTAAAATAAAAATAATAATAAAATAAAATTACAATAAATTAAAATGAATAAAAAATAAAATAATAAATGCAAGTAAAATAAAATAATATAAATAAAATAATATAAATAAAATAATATAAATAAAATCATAAATAGAATAAAACAAATAAAATATAAAATAAAATACATGAAATGAAATATATGTGACCCACGACAGAATTAAGAGAATAACAGAAGTTGGGAGGGACCTTGGAGGTCTTCTAGTCTGGGAATTGCCAATCTTTTGGACCTCAGGGACCACCAAACTCATAATTTTAAATCCCGCAGACCAGAGACCCTGGGAAAATCCTCAAAAAAGTCTGCAGGAAAATTTCCCACCCCGTTTTCCTACTGATCTTTATTTGGGATGGCAGGATACCATCTCCAGCTCCGTTCTTGGGGGGGGAGGGTGAGAGAGAGAGACAGAGACTTTTGGCTTCATGCAAGGAAAGCAGCAGAAGCAGCAGAAGTCTGTCTTTCTCTCCCCCAAACTCCACCTGAAATGAGTCTCTTGGAACACAATGCCTTGCAGGGTCCCAAAGACTCATTTCTGGCGGAGTTTGGGGGAGAGAAAGACAGACTTTTGCTGCTTTCCTTGCATGCAGCCAAAAGCAGAAGAAGAAAGAAGCAGAAAGAAGCAGCCCGGTGGCCAGGCCAGGCGCGTGGGGTGAGTGGGGCAAGTTCCCCCCTCTGCCCTTTCCCCCCTCCCCTCACTACCTCCTGTTCACAATGCAAGCACCGCAAGCCTTGTGTTCCCGCAAGGCCATGTGGGCAGCACAGCCTTGTGATCCCGTGCAGCCTGGATTAATTGCTTTGGGGGGAACATTTCTCTGTGGACCACCAAAATTTTCTCGCAGACCACCAGTGGTCCCCGGCCCACTGGTTGGCGACCACTGTTCTAGTCCAACCCCCTGTTCAAGGCAGGAGATCCTATCATCCCTCCATTGCTCTTCACTCAATGCAGCTCAGGCAAGCCAAAAGATTGGGCAACCATGAATTAGATGGACATTTATGGAACAGTGGCAGGAAACAGAATGATAAAGTAAGGAAACCTCTCCCCACCATCACATGTTTAGCCAAAGCTGAAAGTCTGTTTGATCTTAGCTGTGGAGGATTCTCACCCGCTTCATGTGATCATTGAGGGCCAACCTCATGCCGTTGCTTTTGCTCAACATCTCACAAGACATGAGGGAGTAGAAGACACCAGTGCAGGCCAAAGGCAGGCAGAAGTAAAATCCAAAAAGCCACCAGTCTTTCACATCCTTGTAAAACTGTAGAAAGAGGATAAGAAAGAAATAAGTTCAAGGAATGAAATGCACGACCTGTCAACTCATAAAATATTTCTCTGGTCTTTTAGAGTTGCCAGCAGAAAGTATGTGTGTGTGGGCGGGGAGGGGGGGGGGTAGCACAGTACAGCTTGCAACCAAAGCTGCATTCTATAAATGTTTTCATAGATAGTTTGTAGGTCACCGAAGTTTCTGCCGTGCAAAATTCTAACTGGAGACTCTTGATGACTCTTGATGACTCTTGGCTATGGATGTGTCCCATTGGAGAATATGAATTACGATACACTGAGAGGAGTGGGGGAAAACCAGGGTCAAGGGTTACAATGAATGATGTGTCTCAGAGTCAGCTACACCCAGGCAGTGCCGGACATGTTAACTCCCAATAAATCCTTTTGAAGTTTTGGAAGTTTGGCTCGAGACTCGGGATTTTAAATGGGGGTAATTACCAGAGCCCTGACACCACCGAGCTCACTCGTGTGCAGAAATTGGAATTAGATGCTGTGCTAAGCAATGTCATGTAATTGTTTTAAGTTCTATGGCTGTGTGAACCAGCCACTTCTGGCTTTTTAAAGAAATCATAGTTAAACAATTTAGAGGCTGTTATGTTGTGGGAACTCAGCCTTTTTTTTTTTTTTACCATGATATTCACATGTCAAACTACTGCAAGGTCCGGATTGCAGGGTATCTACCCAAGCTCTTTCAGAGTAAATAGAGGCTTGTTCTAGAGAGTGCTTCTGTCTGCTTCTTCTGTATTGTTGGTGAGCAGATTTCACAAGAATCCTTATCCTCAGAGGATTTGCTCCCATAGCTGTAGAGTAGAAGCTCTTGCCTATATCTTTCTATGGTGTCTTTTCTATTTCCAAATTTGAGGCGCATACAGGTACATTTTATATTCATTGTTTTTAAGGGATGTTAGCTCTTCATTCACATTCTGGGTTACAAAACATAGTTGCCAAGCCAGCATATGCAGAAAACTTTGGGTTAGATGTGTTGTTTTATTGTTTATTGCTTTCTTTTTTTATAATGGATTTTCTACAGCTATCTCCTTCCTTCCTTCTTTCCTTCCTCCTCTCCTCTCCCCTCCTCTTCTCTTCCCTCCTTCCCTCCCTTCTTTCCACACTCCTTCCCTTCTTCTTTCCTTCCTCCTCTCCTCTCCTCTCCTCTTCCTTCCCTCCCTCAACCATAATAAAGACCTTTCAATTTCATTATGTTATGCAAAGTCATCCCAAGAGAAATGAGATTTAAGGAAAGCATCCTATCTCTTTGTTTTCATATTCTGGTATGAAGTCACTTGTGGCCATCATTTCCTCCAACTGTCCCTGCTGTTTAGTCATTCAAAGGTCTCCCGATTCTCTCAAAGATTTTCTTTTTCCTTTCTCCATGGACATTTGGAACTACCCGCCGCAGGAATTTGATCTTACTCTGCTGAGCATCTCCAAGCTAACACCTTCTGTATAAACTGGGATTAGTAGTAATCCCAATAGAGTTAGGGAACACCAGAATGGAAAAGGCTGATACATAAGAGGTGGGGCAGAATCAGGGGTGGGCTGCTGGGGGCTCGCAGGGGTTCTGGAGAGCCCCTAGTTAAGGTTCTATGCAGAATAGGGGGATTCAAAAAATTTTTTGCTACCAGTTCTGTGGGCGTGGCTTGGTGGGCACGGCAGGGCAAGGATACGGCAAAATCCCCATTCCCTCCCCACTCCACTAACCTGCTTTCCAGCTCCGTTTTCCTGTGCAGGACAACAAAAGTAGACCCAGCCAATCAGCTGGGACTTGGGAGGCGGAGAATAGATGGAGGCAAGGCCAATCAAAGGCGGTATTTGCTGGTTCTCCAAACTACTCAAAATTTCCGCTACCGGTTCTACAGAATTGGTCAGAACCTGATGAAGACCACCTCTGCCCCAAATCCCACTCCTGGCTGGCCCCACCTACCCGTCCCCTCCCAGGAGCCCCCACATGGCCCATTTTGGATGCAGGTAAGTGCAGAGCACGCACAGAAGCTCGGGGAGAGGGAAAAACAGGCCACCTGGAAGTTCTGGAAGACTGAAAATGGGCCTCTTTCCAGCTTCCAGAGAGCCTCCGGAGCCTGAGGAAGCCATTTTCATTCTCCTGGAGGCTCGCCGAAAGCCTCTGGAGCCCAGGGAGGGCGCAAACACCCCCCTGCCCTGGTGCAGGAGGCTGACTAGGCCACGCCCACCATGGCCACACCCAACCAGCAACCGGGCAGAGAACCCCTTGCTAAAATTTTTGAAGCCGACCCCTGAACAGAATGAACGATGTGCCAAAACGAAATAACACTTCCGGGCAGCCATTGTGTCTTCCACCTTCTCCCCAACTAAACTGAAGCTTGTCCGTTCAAAGCAGGAAGAGATACACATTTAACATTAAGCCTATTGGTTGGTCAACTTCTCTGTTTCTGATCACCGCCAAAGGAAACAACTCACCGACATAAAGCTGGACTTTTGCTCGGGGGCCAGCAAGCAAACCCGGTGAGTCTGTTCCCGGTAATCCAGTTTCACCAAGTCGAAAGCAATGGCTTCCGGGATAGCCAGGATGATGGCTACAGCCCATATGAAAGTCACTTCCACCGCCTTCCACAATGGGATTCCAATGCCCTGAATCCGGCTCCAGGAAGCCACTGCTCGGTATCTAGAGGAGAAAGGAAGGAGGTGCTATTTGCCAGAGGAAAAGGTGTTTCAGTAAAAACGGGAAATGCTCCGAAGAGTTTATTACCGGTCTATGCTGAGAGCACAAAGGCTGAGGACAGTGATGCCAACGGAGGCCTTCTGTATGAACGGCACCAGCTTGCAGATCTGCACCCCGAACGGCCAATCTTCTGCAAGAAGCTGGGAAGAAAAACAAAGGAAAGAAACTCAACATTATTTCTCCATAATGAGCCATGGTGGCGCAGTGGTTAGAGTGCGGTAAAATGAGGACCCAGGTTGTTGGGGGCAATAGGCTGACTCTGTAAACTCCTTAAACAGGGCTGTAAAAGCACTGTGAAGTGGTATATAACTATAAGTCTGCCCACTGCCAGCGGTTTGATCCTGACCGGCTCAAGGTTGACTCAGCCTTCCCTCCTTCCGAGGTGGGTAAAATGAGGACCCAGATTGTTGGGGGCAAGAGGCTGACTATAAAAGCACTGCAAAGCAGTATATAAGTGCTATGGCTATTTTTTTCCTTCCTTCCTTCCTTCCTTCCTCCCTTCCTTCCTTCCTTCCTTCCTTCCTTCCTTCCTTCCTTCCTAACTAACCCAAGTCGACTCAGCCTTCCATCCTAGCTGGCCCCACCCAGCCCACCCCTCCCAGGAGTCTCCAGGTGCCCTCTTTTGGACGCAGGTAAGTTCATGGGCCTGTTTCTGGCTTCCAGAGAGCCTCCGGAGTCCGGGGAAGGCAAAAACACCTCAGGAGGCCGACTACGCCATGCCCACCCAGCAACCAGGCAGAGAACCTGTTGCTAAAAATTTTGAAGCCCACCCCTGCACCTGACGCATGTCTTTAAAAATCCTAACAGCATGGAAAGTGGGAAGCTAACGTCAAAACTGCCAGGTGTCCCTGAAAACAGGATTAAGAAGGCTAGTCTTTATTGTAATTCAGGAATGACTGACAGTCAGTTGAGAGTCACTGGGGAAGGGCTTGTCCACCCTCTCCAGATTTAGTTAGTTCTTTCCCTGCAGATTCCTGCATGTGATCAAACATGAGCGCCTTTCCTTTCTCATGATTGCTCATAAATGGCAGTTGCATGTTTACATACGCTGCATTTCTGGATAATTTCCTGACCTTAGCAGAAGCCAGGGAAAAAACCTAAAATGTTAACAAGCCTGAGCGAATCAATCTACATTTTATCCCTCTGCAGTAAAAAGGCTTGTTTCAATGGCAAGAACATAAATACCTTGTACGCACATAAATAACTCTCCAATGACCCCCATAAGAATGTGAGATGGGATGGGCAAAATTTGCAATCCTATCAGTAGTTTTGACCAATGCCCTGTAAGAATTGTACAGTACACCACTGCGAAGACTGTGTAACTAGGTTGAAATGGCAGCTAGTATTCTAGTAAAATCAGTTAAGTTTCTTTCAAGCCCTAGTTAATGTATTTATTTTTATCCTGCCTTTATTGTTTATATACTGTAAGCAACTCAAGGTGGTAAACAAAGCTAATAGACCTTCTTCCTCCTTTTTACCCCACCACAACGACCTGTTGAGGTGGGTTGAGATTTGGGAGAGAAGAATTGGCCCAAGGTTACCTAGCTGCAGGGGCTCGCAGGGGTTCAGGAGAGCCCCTAGCTTAAGATTCTGTGCAGTTTGGAGAACCCCCAAATCGCACTCCTGGCTGGCCCCACCCACCCAGCCCCACCCCTCCCAGAAGTCCCCAAGCCACCTGTTCTGGATGCAGGTAAGTACAGGAGGCGTGTGGAGGGTTAGGGAGGGCGATAAACAGGCCCCCCGGAAGTTCAGAAGACCGGAAATGGGGCCGTTTCCAGTCTCCAGCAGGCTTGTTACTAGAGAGAAATGACTAGATTCAAGGCAGACATTAAAATCTGCAGGGACTCCTTTACCATTACCTACTCAAATATCTCTCAAGGAATACTTGCCTTGAGACATATCTAAAGCCCCCTAACTAGTAACAATCCCCCCCAAATTGTGAAAATTATTCAGGAAGCATTAATGGCGAGTCTTGCAGATTGGAGTTTTAATGGATGTTTCATTCTTTTTTTGCACTGTGTGAGATTGGATGGTAGTTCTTTGCTTAAACTGATTTTTTAAAATAATTTTAGACTGCCCGGAGTCTGAAATCATGTGATATACAAATTGATGTATAAATAAATGAGTCATTGAGGTTTCTCTGAGAATTATTTGTAATACATGGAATGCTTCCAAATAAAGCTTATGATAAGGCAAATGAGGAATGAGAAAAGAACCTCAGATTTAATCAGCGTAAACAAGATTTATGAAGACTCAATAAGTGTTTGTTTCTTTCTAAAAAAAAACCCTCCATGTCAGTTACGTTGTTTTATGTTTTGAACACTTTGTTCCAATTTCAGAACTGCTGTTTTTCCACACTAAACGTTACAATCTTGTGGTTTGCTGGTGTGATGAAAGATAAATTACAAGGATTATCCCAATTTTAAAATCTCGATGATCATCTAACTCTACTTCAACGGCCAGAATATGTAAGGTAGACCATGAGGGGCTCACTTATAATTTTGGGAATACATACGCAGATCTCTCTATTTGTCATCTTTATCATTTTTATTTTATTATATAAAATACGCACACACACACACACAAAAATAGGAAATTACAGGAGGGAAAGGGAGTGGGGGAAAGGGGGTTGTGAGATACAAGGAAGAAGAGAAAAAAGAAAGAAAAGGGGACACTAAATTCCAATTCTTCCTAGCATGGTACAAGATAAATACACTTCAACCTCAACTTTTTGCTTTTACACATTAATATATAACTAGCCATTTCTATAACACCAAATCTTTCTAATCAACAAAAACAAGACCAAAGTTTCATTTTATTTCTTCACAAGCTCAAATTCCAGAAGTGATATCCAAATAAGAACATACTTTCCTCTTTAAATAAAGTAATCAATTTAACCATTCTTGCTTTATCTTCTTTGCTATGGAATTAAGTAACCTAGTATCCTTTGTGAACTGTCACAATTTTTATTTACAAAATGTACTGTATTCTTTCAAACTCTTCGGCCAATCTCTTTATTTGTGATCAGTATGCAGCAATATTTCTTAGAGATGGAATATTGACAGGGTCCCAAATATTAGAAAACAATATCCAATAATTGCATGTTTTTCCTAATATTTCTCCACAGGGACAGGCTACCTTTCCACCCCCAGTCGGTCAAGTGTTGATCCATTGGCTTGTCACATGAATCTGGACTGAGAGAGTGACTAGTCCAGAGTTTTCATGGCTAATATGGAACTAGAACTCACAGTCTCCCAATGATTGGCTCAAAATCACCCAGCTGGCTTTCATGCCTAATGTGGAAGAGGAACTCACAGTCTCCTGGATTCTAGCCATGTGACTTAACAACTAGGCCAAAATGCTTCTCATCCAGAAATTTCCTGACAGCTAGAACAATTAATCAGTGGAACGACTTGCTTCTATTAGACGTGGGTGTTCCAACCCTAGAGGTTTTTAAGAAGAGATAGAACAACCTTTTGTTTGAAATGGTATAGGGCAGACATCCCTAACCTGTGGGATGCCCCCACACTAGTGGGCCATGAGGGGTTTGCAACTCGGCTGTGGAAATGGCCGGGGAGCGCATAAGCGCATCTTCCCTTGCACAAGCAGAGGGCGAGTATGTGTGTGCATTCTCCATTTGCATGAGTGGCAGTTGTGTGTGCATGGCATTCATGGAAATGGAGCTGTGCATTTGTGTGTGCTTGCCAGCCGCTTGCATGAACTTATCCCCTCCCCTCTGGTCTACAAATAGCAATAGCACTTAGACTTATATACTGCTTTACAGTGCTTTATAGCCCTCTCTAAGAGGTTTACAGAGTCAGCCTCTTGTCCCCAACAATCTGGGTCCTCATTTTACCCACCTCGGTAGGATCCAAGGCTGAGTTGACCTTGAGCCAGTCAGGATCAAATTGCTGGCAATCGGCAGAGTTAGCCTGTAATACTATATTCTAACCACTGGGAGGGAGGGAGGGAGGGAGGGAGGGAGGGAGGGAGGAAGGAAGGAAGGAAGGAAGGAAGGAAGGAAGGAAGGAAGGAAGGAAGGGCGGCACTTAGATTTATATATCATTTCACAGTGTTTTACAGCCCTCTCTAAACAGTTTACAGAGTCAGCCTCTTGCCCCCAACAATCTGGGTCCTCATTTTACCCACCTCAGAAGGATGGAAGGCTGAGTCAACCTTGAGCCAGTCAACATCAAACTGCTGGCAGTGGGCAGAGTTAACCTGCAATACTGCATTCTAGCCACAAGGAAGGAGGGAGGGAGGGAAGGAGGGAGGGAAGGAAGGAAGGAAGGAAGGAAGGAGGGAGGGAAGGAAGGAATAGCCCTTAGACTTATACATTGCTTCATAGTGCTTCCCAGCCCTCTCTAAGTGGTTTATAGAGTCAGCCTCTTTGTCCCCAACAATCTGGGTCCTCATTTTACCCACCTCAGAAGGATGGAAGGCTGAGTCAACCTTAAGCCAGTGAGAACTGAACTGCCACAACAAGCAGTCAGCAGAAGTAGTTTACAGTACTGCATTCCGACCACTGCACCACCACGGCTACTGTAAATGTGAGGGCATTCTGGTATATATAGGATTTCCTGTATGAGAAGCTAATTCCAGGCAAAAGGTGAGAGGGATGTCAGTTTCTCTTTCCAAAGGATTCCAGAATATTTGGATCCCACACATCCTCCACAAGGACATCTCCAGATTGAACTAAATCGGGTCTTCTCTAAACTCCAGCTGCTGTAGGACATATATCTTGACAGAAACCAATTTAGAGAAGATTGCTTTAAGTACTACACTCTTTTTCATCCTTGCCCAGTTGACTTCTGATTACATTCAAAGGAGGTGATTGTGTAAAAAATCCCAAACCGAAATATCTGGGAAGGAGGAATATGTGAAATAATTATGTTTCACAGATATTTTGGCCCGGAGGCCTCCCAATTAATCACATTTCACTGCCTTTATGACATCTGATCAATTTCTGGCTCTTGAACTACAGAACAATCGCTCTACTGTTCCTTCTACTACAATGCTCAACAAGCGGTGGAAAAAATAATACTGCAGTAGGATGCAAGTTCCACATTTTCATTCTGATGTTAGCAGTGACTTTGAGTTCTCCTTATCCTTCCACATGCACGTTTTCTGGTCTGTGAAGTCGGTCGGGTTATATTTCTTGGGTGACAGGAACAAAATGTTTTCAGTTAGCCCACCAGAAGGATATTTTCAGCCCATAGAGATCCTACCCTATAGCCATATTTGTCACTTTCATAGTATCATAAGGATGGATGGGACCCTGGAAGTCTTCTACTCCAGTCCCCTGCCCAAGGCAGGAATCTTTATACCATCCTAGACAATCTTTTCTTGAAAACCTTCCATAATCGAGCACCCACAACTCCAGGAGGCAACCTGTTCCATTGATTAATCGTTCATACTGCCAGGAAATTCCTCCTTAGTTCCAGGTTGGAGCTCCCTCTGATGAGTTTCCACCCATGGCTTCTTGTCCTGCCTTCAGGTGCTTTGGAGAATAGCTTGACACCCCCTCTTCTTTGTGGCAGCCTCTGAGATATCAGAACCCTGCTATCATGTCACCCCCGCCTTAAGAAAGTTCAAAACATGCTCCAAGATCCATCTCATCCTGGGCACCCTTTTTTTTGAACTATTGCCATCTGGCAGACGGTACAGGACAATAAAAACAAGGACAAATTAGGCCGAAAAACAGCTTCTATCCCAGGGCAGTAACTCTATTGAGTTCTACTGTATAGTGCAATATTAATGGAACATCAGCGGTTTTCAGTTCAGTTGTATAGAATATATATATTTCTGTTTATTTTCATGGTCATAGTCTGCATTGAGGATAGTGTTTGATTTTGTTGTTTGAGGTGCACTGACAATAAACTAAACTAAACTAAACTAAACTAAACTAAACTAAACTATTCTAATCAATGTTCTCTTCCCTGTGACAACCCTTTAAGTAGTAGAAGATGGCTATTCAGCCTTCTCTTCATTAGGTTACACATACACATCCTATTTTTTTATTGGACTGTACCAGTGGTGGAATTCAATCTTTTTTACTACTAGTTCAGTGGAATGGTTTGGTGGGCGTGGCAGGGGAAGGATACTGTAAAATCTCCAGTCAGAGGTGGGATTTGCCAGTTCTCTGAACTACTCAAAGTTTCCGCTACTGATTCTCCAGAACTGGTCAGAACCTGCTGAATACCACCTCTGGACGGTGCCATTTCAAACTATAGGTCACAGAAACAGCTTGCCAGGTTAGATTGTCAGTTCTCTGATAAGGACCCTTGGCATCCCTGCAATCCAGACCCATTTTCAACTCCCTTTATAACATCTGATCAGCTTCTGGCTGTTGAGCTACAGAACGATAACTAACAATCACTTGACATTAGGGATAAGATCTGGAATTTTCTGTGGCTACTACACGGGGTGTACCAATTTATATGGGCTCTTCCTGGCTGCATCCCAAGCAGATGCATCTTTTTATGTCATGCATGTGCCACCATTACCAACCTTATATCTGAGCATCTGTTGACTTCATCCCACTGATCAATCAAGTGGAGCTGGATTTGAAAGGAAGGGCATCATAGCAATGCGATAAACCCAGTTGAATAGCCATGGTAAGTTATAAGTAGAAGAATACAATAAATAAATACCTTATACACATTAATGGGCAAAGCAATGAGGATGTAGAAGAGGTCTCCAAGAGCAAGGCTGGCAATGAGAACGTTGGGCCCATTTCTCATGCACTTATTCTTATAGATGATCCTTAGCAGGGTGGAGTTTCCAATGATGCCCACAATGAAGATAGTGCAAGAGACAAAGGTGTTGATGTACTTGAACACTTCCCGGATTTCTGTTCGCTTCTCACACATGACCGGTAGTGGAGCTTGTGGGATGGCATCTCCAGAAAAGTCCTTTGACTTGTTGGAGGGGACTCTCTGATCTGGGAAGACACCTGCTTGGATAATCTTCAAAGTTGGATCTTCTCCCAGAATCTCCAAAGATATGGTGCTGTCTTTGAAGCTGTTGGCCGTCTGGCTGGAGACACCCAAGATCAGGCAGGAGACCAACACTAGAGTAGGGAGATGTCTACCCATGGGGAAGCCAAGGTCAAAAACCCACACAGTTTTGTGTGTGTTGAGCATAGCAGGGTTAACGATGTCTCCTAAGACCTCCTATTCTCATCGGCAGGTGGAAGATGCTTACAAGAATCTGGATAACAAGAGAGAAAATTAGAAAAAGGGATACTGATATAAGCATGAATTTCTTTCCATTAGATTATTGTTCACAGAAGATAAGGATAAGCAACCCACAGCCCAGATTTCTTTTATACCCCTGATGGTTTGGGGTATAAATGGCCATAGAAATTTGGTTTGATGAATTGCCATAGAAATTTGCCAGTAAAATTGATAAACTAAACCCTAGGGGTGCAGATAAATAGGTATCTGCTTCTGTAGTTCCTAGAGGACTGGAAATAAACTATAAAAAATAGAATATGTGGCATTCCAAGTTAAAGGAAAAATGTTAGAAGTTGACAGATGACAAGGTGATGTTTACAGTTGATGGAGCAAATAGGAAGCTGGTCATGTACAAGTGTTATTTCCTCCTCATGATAGAATAGACCCCTATGGATCTACTGATGGAAACTACACATGGTCTGGGGAGGAACTAAAGCCCTTCCCTCCATTGTCACTAGGAGCATCTACTGTACCAATGAAGGTGGAGGCCAGTGGTGGGATTCACATTTTTTTTACTACCAGTTCTGTGGCCGTGGCTTGGTGGCCTTGGCAGGGGAAAAATACTGTAAAACTCCAGTCAGAGGTGGGATTTGCCGGTTCTCCGAACTACTCAAAATTTCCACTGAATACCACAGAACCTGAATACCACCTCTGCTGGAAGCGAGACCATCTGTTGAACTAGCAGCTATGTTCTTTCTTTACTTGCTTCTATTCCAACTAATGAAATTTTACTTAAGAAGGTTTCTACTGAGAGCTAAATTTGGCATTTATGTCAGTAATGTTCCTCAAGAACTCAACATTATTAGTTTCAGTTACAGACAAGGCCATTCTTTAATAACAATGGATAGCGCAAAGCAAAACCTATTTTCCCCTTAATAATTATTTGGATGCAGTACTGCATTCTAACCCACTGCACCGCCAGAGCCATGTTGGCTTAGTGGCTAGAATGCGGTATTGCAGGCTAACTCATTGCTCACTCTAGGACCGTGATGGCGAACCTATGGCCCGCATGCCACAGATGGCATGTGGAGCCATTTGTGTGGGCACACGAGCCCCAGCCAAACTTACCTGCACTGCACATGTACACACTCTCAGCTGATTTTTGGCCCATTTGAGGCCTTTTTCAGCCTCTCTGAGGCTCGAGGGAAGCCTCTGCAGCCTTTGGAGGCTGAAAAATGGGCCCGTTTTGTCACTTCCTATATTTCCAAAGACTGCAGAAGCTTCCCTTGAGCCCCTGGGAAGGTGAAAATAGCCTCCCCCGGGCTCCAGAGGCTGTCCGGAGGCTGAAAACAGGCACTTCTGGTTTTTCTGGAAGGCCCGGTATTCGGCCTCCCAAGGCTGCAGAGGCTTCCCTGGAGCCTCAGGGAGGCTGAAAAAGGCCTCAGACAGGCTGAAAATCAGCCGGGAGGTGCATGCATGCACAGTGCAGGTAAGGGGGGGTGGGGCGCATTGCAATGTGGGTGCCAGTGTGTGTGCACTTTCGGCACACCATAGCAAAAAGGTTCACCATAGGAGTTTGATTCTGAGTGGCTCAAGGTTGACTCAACCTTCCCTCCTTCCAAGGTTGGTAAAATGAGGACCCAGATTGTTGGGGGCAACAGGCTGACTCTGTAAACCACTTAGAGTGGGCTGTAAAGTACTATGAAGCAGTATATAAGTCTAAGTGCTATTGCTAAATAAGAGCCATAGTGACACAAATGATATAAATGTAGTATTGCAGGCTAACTCTGCCCACAGCCAGGAGTTCAATTCTGACCCACTCAGAATTGACTCAGCCTTCTGTCCTCCCAAGGTCAATAAAATGAGGACCCAGATTGTTGGGGGCAAGATGCTGACTCTGTAAAATGCTTGGAGAGTGCTGTAAAACTCTGTAAAGTGGTATATAAGTTTAAGTGCTATCGCTATTTCAAGTCCCATCAGCCACAGTCAGCATGTCTGATGGCAAAGGCATATGAAAATTGTACTGTGTATGGGATATTAGTAAGACCACACCTAGAGTACTGCATCTAGTTTTGTTTACCACATTATAAAAAACATGTTGAGATTCTAGAAAAAGTACAGAGAAGAGCAACCAGGAGGATTACGGGACTGGAGGCTAAAACATACAATGAACGGTTGCAGGAACTGGGCTTGGCTAGTCTAGTAAAGAGAAGGACCAGGGGAGACATGATAGAGGCCTTCCAATATTTGAGGGGCTGCCGCAGGGAGGAGGCGATCAAGCTATTTTCCAAAGCACCCGAAGGCCAAACAAGGAATAATGGATGGAAAGTGAACAAGGAGAGATTTAACCTGGAAATAAGGAGAAACTTTCTGACAGTAAGAACAATCAACCAATAGAACAGCTTGCCCTTGGAAGTTGTGGGAGCACCATCAGTTGAGATTTTCAAGAAGAGATTGGACTGCCATTTGTCAGAAATGGTGTAGGGTCTCCCACTTGGGCGGGGGGTTGGACTAGATGACCTACAAGATCCCTTCCAACTCTGATTATCTGTTGTCTGTTATATTAAGGATATTTGTAATATCTAGTTGGGTTTGATTAAGGCATGATATCATCAAAATACATTGAAGCTAGTTCTGAATGCAGAAGATCAAAACGAGGGACACTGTCTCGGTTATTAGAAAGAAGAAACCTCTTTCAGTTAACGATGAAGTCACTGGGAGTTCAAATTCAACCCAGACATTAAATTAGGTTAAATTACATTGCTTACATTAAATTACATTGTCCACTTACTTTCTGATTTTCACTAACAGCTTGGTGGATCGCAAATTGCTGAATCTGATATGTCATGTCTCCGCAACCAAACAAGACAGACACAGATTTCAACGAATAATTAGAACTGCAGAAAAAACAATTGCTACCAACCTGTCTTCAACGGAGGACCTGTATCCTGCACAAGTCAAAAAGAGGGCTGTGGAAATATCTACAGACCCCTCGCATCCTGGACATAAACTGTTTCAGCTCCTTCCCTCAAAACGACACTATAGAGCACTGCACACCAGAACAACTAGACACAAGGACAGTTTTCCCCCGAATGCCATCACTCTGCTAAACAACCAATTCCCATAATACTGTCAAACTACTTAGTAGGGCTGTATTCTTCTTCTTCTCATCCTTCCTATTACCTATCTCTTCCCACTTATGACTATAACTGTGTTGCTTGTATCTTTACAATTTATATTGTTTTGTTTCCTAGTATGATTTGATTGCTTATTAGTAACCTATGACTATCACTAAGTGATGTATCTTATGATACTTGATGAATGTATTTTATTTTTTCTTTGTGTACACTGAGAGTTTATACACCAAAGACAAATTCCTTGTGTGTCCAATCACACTTAGCCAATAAAGAATTCTATTCTGTTCTGTTCTGTTCTGCTCTGCTTTACTCTACTCTACTCTACTCTACTCTACTCTACTCTACTCTACTCTATTCATGCTATTGTTTTGTGCAAATGAAGAGTAAATTTTAAAACATGTTTTAAAGATATTTACCCCACCCCTATACACATACACACATACACATAAAACTCAAGGTGGCCAACATATCCAACACACCTTCCTCTTCTTGTTTCCCCCACAACAACAGCCCTATGAGGTGAGTTGGGATTGAGAGAGAGTGACTGGCTTAAAGTCACCCAGCTGGATTTCAAGCCTAAGGCAGGACTAGAATTCCCACTCTCCTGGTTTTTTTCAGCACCTTAATCACCGCACCAAATTAGTTCTCCATTGCTAAATAAAAGACAAAGGAGTTCTTTCAAAAGCAGTAAATTGCTTGGAAGTTGAAATGCATTATTAATGCTTAATAATATTGCATTTCCTTGTATAATTCCTTGTGCAAAATGATTGCTGTGCAATTACTTTCCTATTATATTTACAAAACTTTTTAAAACAGATCCTGGATCCCAACTTATAATTTAATTGCAAGATTAGCGAATAATGAAAAGGAAAGAACTTCAAGATGAAAGGAATAATGAAAAAAAATTGCGACAAATGTATTAAAATGGGATACCCTGCCTTAAAACATCAGTCAGTGAAAATTTCAGATGCAAGAAAATTTCAGTCCTAGGAATAACTTTTTTTAGATTTTAAGAGCTACAAACTTTTTATCACGTGACAATCACCAAATAAAATTTGAAACCATTAAAATATACATAACCCATAATAGTTTACATCCATGACACTGAAGTACAATTAATACAATAAAATGAATCTCTTATTGAAGTATTTCTAAATCAATAAATAGTTTGGTTTCTGTAGCTTAGTAGTTCTCAGATGCATTTGGTGTCTCTGATGGTGAGGCTGTGCGTTTTCTACTGGGAAGATTTGCACTTACCTGGTTATAGCTTGTAAATATAGGATCAAGCTCTCACTCGTTTGTGTTCCCCAATTGTTTAAACCTAGCTTTCATGGAGTACACCTCAACAAGGTAAGATGAAGAAAGAATTTGAGATCAATGCAATTTACACAGAAGCATCCTTCAATTCAATGTTTCTCAATGTTTGTAACTTGAAGATGCACGGACTTCAATGCCCATAAATTCCTCAGGCCACCCATTGGCTGGGGAAGTCCACACATTTTGAAGTTGCCAATGTTGAGAAACACTGCTCTGGCCATTTTCATCTTCACATTCATGTCCTCTGTTGCTTCCTTCCCTCCCACCTGCCCCTCACTATTTCAAGAATAGCCATTTCCAAACAATCCCTGTTGTACACATACTTCAAAAATGATGGTCCACATATCGCCAAAGCACTGATCACCCAAAACATATATCCAAAATCTGAGCAAACAACCATTTGTCATTGTCATTTTTCATGCCTTAGAACCCTAGCGAGATTCCCTCTTCTCCTAGCCTGATGCA